ACTGCTATAGGGACATAGCCTGCTGCTTAGTATGAGCTGTGAACTACCTCAGTAGCATAGGTTGCAGGACCAGCCCTTTTCCACTGCACCTCCCCATACTTTGAAGCGCCCAGTTGCCTCTTCTGCTTACACATCGGCCCAGGCCTGGTCAGCGGTATGTTTCATATTAGTGCAATGCTACTTTTCTGCAGCTGAACCTATCTCACAGATTTCTGCTTTTGCAATGCCTTCTTGTGTGGCAGGATTGATAAATCTTTCCATTGTTTTTCGGAGATCACGGTTCACTTCACCTCGCTGTACAGCATTTTGCAGCCACCAGGAAAGAGAAAGTGCAGGTTTTACCTTGAAGTTGAACAGTTCATAGACCTTATCTACAGCAATTAATTCCAACACTGCTGAGCCAGACTCCAAGTTATACTCAACTCCCTAGGCCTACAAAAATGTATTATGACAAGACTTCTCCCAAACAGGATTAACACTTTCCTCTTATTGGGGCTTCCACATAACATTTGTGTCCTGGATTTTGATAACTTCAGAACCCAGAGGAAAAAAAAAAAATAACAAAGAAATGAGTGATCATACTGAATCCCAAGGTGACTGCAGCCATATTAATGCACTTGCAAAAAAACATTTGAGTACTGTCTGTGGTACTTTTTTATTTACACTAACAGTTACATTTTCAGGACAAGTTTTCAAGGGTCTACCCCCTTCTTCTAGGTTCAACAAGTATTGAAGTCAAAGGGTTGGTATTAGCATGACACATGACAGAGAGCCACATTCTGCAGCACATCTGTGTGGAACAGCACAGAAGCTAATAAAACAAATTAGCTAATAAAACTTTATGACTTTGCCCACCACTGAGAAGAAGGAGCAGCCGCACATCTGTGATGCATGGAAGAGGTGCAACCACAAAAAAAGTGTATACACAAATAGTTTGCAGTTTAAGTTGACTCAAACTCAAAAAGTGAAGTTTTTCTTATAGGGGACATCTACAACTGTTAATTGTGCCTAAGCAATACCTTTACAAATGTACCCTTTGTCTTGAATTCCTCCTAAAAATAGCATTGAAATGTCTATGCCTTGGAAATCCTGTCTTGAGCCTCATAGCTGTATATCCGCAGTTTAAGATGATCTAAGGAAGCTATATTCCACTGACTGCTAGTCTCACCAGAATTGGGTGAAATTTGGCGATGACTCTACTATACTGATCAGTGTTTTCCTTGCTGGAGAGGAAGCTGTACCTGAGGACCTGCAGTGCAAGGATCTCCCTGCTTTTGCTTCGTCTATTCTGTGCATCTGAGCTTCCTTTACCCCTGCTGCATCCTGATTAATAACTCAAGTCATCATATCACCAGTGGGTGCCTCTGATATAGGAAAGAAAAGCACTGCTCCTCTACCAAGATGATTGCCTCAGCTCAGAATCACATTGCAGAACAAGGCATGGTAAATCAGCAATGGGGAGAAGATCCGCTGCCTACAGGGAAAACGGGCAACTAGTTAATTACCCTCTGATTGATTTTGTTCAGATATGGCTTCCACAGTTCAGGTCCTCTTTTTTTAAAATTCAATAGATTGTTATTGTTTTCCAATGAAACAGTAAAGTATAGCAGGTGTTTGCAGACTTAAGATATGACACAGGGTAGGATCTATGCATTTTCCTAACAGTACATATAGTGAACACATCTGCAAAAGGGATTGCTGCAAACAGTAACCACGCGTAACAGCATTCAGTAGGCTGGAGATACAGAGAGTAAATCCAGTGCAACTAAATAACATTGTGTATATTCAATCTAATAAAAGTAAAAGAAAAAAAAAAAAAAAACCTCCACCACCCCAATCAGGTGTAGGGTTGAGGAGGGCCAGGGAAAGGTTGAGAGCGGGATAAGAAGGGAGGTAGGATAGAGAAGGAAAGTAGAGGTGAGAGTGAGGTAAAGTAGAGACGGTCCTTTCCCGGTAGGGAAGTGATTGCCTGTTCCCTAAAATCAGAGTGTCAGCAGGTGAGTGTCCAAGGAGTGCGTCTGTAGATATTGGATCCATGCGTTCCAAATCTGTTCAAAGAGAAACAGGAACCATACCGCACTCCTTACCTGGACTCCCACTTGATGAAGATGGGTGCTCGAAATGACTGCGGATGGCACCGCCACACATGAACAATAGAAAAATGTCACCTGCACACCATAAGTTGAAAAAGCAAAATATTTTATTGCCAATAGCTGTATCTCATTGGCAAGCACTTTCAGGGCCTCGCAGGGACCCCTTCATCTCTAAGCCTGATAAAGGGGACCCTGCGAGGTCCCGAAAGCGCTTGCCAATGAGATACAGCTATTGGCAATAAAATATTTTGCTTTTTCAACTTATGGTGTGCAGGTGACATTTTTCTATTGTTCATGTGTGGCGGCGCCATCCGCAGTCATTTCGAGCACCCATCCCAATTGAGATACAGCTATTGGCAATAAAATATTTTGCTTTTTCAACTTATGGTGTGCTGGTGACATTTTTCTATTGTCCAAATCTGTTCAAAGCGCAGGACTTTATTTTTTTTCAAAACTGGGGTTGGAATGCATTCTTTTATTCAAGGTTTTCCAATGAGGCCATGATAAATACACGCTGTAGTTACTTAGTGAAGCTCTTTCAGAGTACCATAAACAAGATATGTATAGGCACCGTTAGCCTTCATTAACTGCCTAGGCTAATAACCTGTGACACATCTGGATTTGCGGCAAACCTTTAACCCAAAATCGATGGCCACTTCATAATGAGCACATGAGCTAAACAAACGGTAAATAAACAGCCCTGTCAGTGTAAAGTAATTCAATCTGTGGCTCTCTCTCTCTGTAACGAGACAGAAGATTAATTATTCAGAGGTGTTTTAGCTGCCACCGGGCCAATAGCAATCCACTAATGACTCAGAGTATCACAGATCATATTGCCAAATGGCTTTCACACATATCTCAGCAGGCTGCAGTCCAAAGCACCAAGCTGACTCAGCCGAACTTGATGGCCTGGCCGAAATGAACCATTCCGAGGTTAATCTGAAATGATTAGGTCTCTTTGGAAAATCATCATTTATGAATGCTGTGCTGTTTCACTTGGGGGAACAGAAAGAAAAAATCAGCACAACAGTTCTGCAGTAATAGAACTTGTTTCAAGAGTTAATATGGAAGCAAATAAAATCCAACGTTGGAAGACCTTACTTTTCTCATCCCTACGATCCCTCCACTCTGTTCAGTCCTGATTCTTTCCTACCTATATTGGGAAAGGCTACAAAATATCCCATACCAAGCTAGTGATTTATCATGCTTCTGGGTAAGTCAGTTCTTATTACAGCTTCCAGTAAAAAAATAAGTTACAACTTGCACCTTTAACTAAGAGGCAACTTAACTACAATCCAGAGAAATCCATTTGTGAGCAGAAAAAGACTTGAAATACAAAACAAAGGAACGTCCACAAGCTGTGAGGATTTTTAGACTTGTATTATCCTGCAATGCACTTCTTTACTGAGAAGCTGACAGTTACTTTGAAAAGCATAATAATACTTAAAGTGACATTAAACCCTCAGATTTTTTAACATAAACCAATACTTTAATGTGCGCCTTACTGTAATCCATGGTAGTTTCCCATACAAAACATGAAAAAGCCTTATTCATAGCCCAAATAAACTTTCCGTTAAAATCAGCTGAAAGTTATTTAGGTTCACCAAGAATACCTCCAAAAGAAAGGAGTTATAAGTCTTAGGACACATCCACACTACCGATTATACTGCCTTAATACAAAGCACATTAGAACACTCTAACACAGCGCAATATTGTAAATAGACCCTTAGGTTGGATTCACACCTATGCATTTTCCATTGCCTTATCCATTGAGATAAATGGAAATGCTTCTAAGCACGTGTTAACGGGTATCAGTGCACGCTATGGAGTGTTGTTGGAGTTGCAATTCCCCCTTATATTGAACTTCAACATGAATCGATGTGCATCATGATATGTGTACTTGTGCCATGATGCAATAAGTGGTGTGATGACGAGTGTGCATGTGTACTTTAATGCATGCATTCAGATGCATTTCCATTTATTTCAATTTAAAACACATCAAGAAAAAATGCCCGTCCACATAAAGTACACCAACCTGGCCTCTGCTAAAATGAGAAGGACCCTTGTTCTCTGTAAGGAAACACTGGTCTCTCTGCAGAGGTCTGAAACACCCCTTGTTAAGCCAGACCTATAGCTCAAGTTCTGGCTGAGCAGGAGACATGTCAGAATTCTACAGAGAGACCACTGCTTCCACATAGAGAGCAACGGTCCTTATCATGCTGGCAGTGGACAGGCATTCTACTCAGGCTGTGTCTGCTTTCTAAAGAAAAACTGAAATACTATGCACAGCTTTTATTTTGATGCACCAGGAATGTGTTTAACTAAATCAAACTGTCTGGATCACCTGGTGTCAGACCGAAGAAACAAACGCAAATAATAAACATTGTATTGCATGGTCTCACTACAATACCATATTTCACCAGTAGGAGGTGTTCCAAGCAAAATCTGTCAATAAAGTTTCTGTCCTACCAAAACTCGGAAGCTCTGATATGCAAATAGGGAACCATAGCCCCAGACAAAGTTCATTTACAGGGTTATTCACAGAATGGTGATGAGTTTGGAGAAGGCAGGAGAAGTGAACAAACTAGGCCAACATAGCTGATTTGGAAAATTATTTTCAAATCAGCGATATTGTCCTAGATTGTTCACTTCTCCTGCCTTCGCCAAACTCTTCACCCTTTTGTGAATAACCCTGTCAATGTTTTCCTCTAAACCCAGTTAGAGAACCCATGTCTCATTTCTTTCTATTTCCATAATATGAGAGAAAAGCTCTTTACACAATACAAATTCACGCTTATATTTTATGTGCCATTAGGGGTAGTATTAACACAGTAGTATACACATCCTTTTAGTATCCACCATCTACAGAAATGCAATTTAAGACTGAATTCACTTTGATACACTTACCAGTTTCTTCATCAATGCTAAATCGTCCCAGTCCACTGCCATCTCTTATAGAGTACTGTATTTCACCATCACGACCACCATCTTCATCTCTAGCTAAAACTTGCAAAACACTAGTCCCGATGCGTGAATTCTCCTTTACAAATCCCGTTACAGCAAAATCCGTAAAATAGGGAGTGTGCAGATTTTCATTAACGTCCACCACTTCAACTTCCACAAAAGAGACGGATGAAAGAGAGACGGGACGGCCCTTATCCTTAGCCCTTACGGTCAAATTGTAAAACTGTTGCTTTTCGTAGTCCAACTCTTTGTTTAAGCGAATAGCTCCACTGGTTTTATCAATTTCAAATCTTCCATTGTAGTCGTTGACCAATGAGTAACGGACTTGACCCCCGAGGCCAAGGTCAGGGTCTTGTGTCTCAAGCCAAGAGATGACAGTACCAGCTGGAAGGTCTTCAAGTACCCTAGCAGTGTAGCTAACAGGGATGAAAACTGGAGAACAATCATTGACATCCTCCAAGTAGACTCTTAAGGTAACAACTGAAAAAAGCTGCTGACCATTTTCTGCTTTGTCTCTTGCCTCAATTTTCAGGGTATAATTGGACATGAGCTCCCTGTCCAGTTGGTCAGCTACGTACACTATTCCAGTAGAGCTGTTAATAGCAAACTTTTTTGTATCTGTTAAAATAGAGTATGTGACTTCCCCATTTGGCCCAAGATCCTTGTCCCTCGCTTCTACCTGAATCAATTCTGTCCCTATGCTTGTGCTCTCTAGGACATTAGCTGAATAACTTTCATGGAGGAAGATGGGATTGTTATCATTTGCATCATTTACATGGATAGTTAACAATCTCCATGAGGACCTCTGTGGGTTGCCTAGGTCATATACTGTAATGTTAAGTAGATATTTATCAGTTTTTTCTCTGTCCATTGGCATTAAAACACTCAGCTGACCTGATTCCAAGTCAATAGTAAAACAACTATCCATATTGCCATCTGTAATTGTGTAAAGTACCTTTCCATTAAACCCTGAATCTGGATCGCTGGCTTTAATCCTAAGGATAGAGGTTCCCTCAGGGAGGTCCTCCTTCACTGATACATCAGAAGGAAATGATTTGTCAAACTGGGGTGGTTGTCGGTTTACTGAATAGAAATCAAACAAGCCATCCTCATAATTAAGCCTGGCATTGGCTTTAGACTTTTTTAGAAGCTTCTCTGCTAATTTCTGGGCAACCCTTGTTTCTTTACAATCAAAATATTTTGAAGGTACCTTGCCATGGACTATGGTTATGTTAACAAACATGGGGTCTGCAAAGTATTCCCCATCAGTAGCAGTAATCTTTAGAGCAAAGTTACTGTTTCTTAAACCAGAACTAATAAAAGATTTTTTAAGCTGCAAGACCCCTGAATCAGGATTCAAGTAGAAAAATCCAAGCTCATTTCCAGAAATAATTTTATACTTGACAAGCTCTAACTCATCTATATCAATGGCAGAGACCGCTGTGATATGTCCGCCAGTTGGAAAGTCAAAGGAGATGACTCCTTGACAAGCTACCTTCTCAAACAATGGTTTGTTATCATTAACATTCCCTATATGAATAGTTACGTTCACTTCACTCTCATGTCGATATGGGGAACCCCAATCAGAGGCTCTCACAATGAATCTGTAACTTTCGGGAGAAGACTCAAAGTCGAGAACATCAGAGGTGCTGATGGTTCCCGTAAACTGGTTAATAGCAAATGGCAAAGAATTCAAACTAGCTATGCTGTATGTGATATAACCATTTTCTCCTTTATCCATATCAAAGGCGGACACCATTACAATGCTAGTTCCAACGGGAACACTTTCGTTGACAAATGACTCATATGAAGCCTGCTGGAACTGTGGAATGTGATCGTTGGCATCTTCCAGCCTGATAATGACTTTCGCTTTAATATCACTGCCTTTTTGTACTACCATAATTTCATAAGTATCTTCCCCAAACAAGTTTAGAGGACGGGCTGTGGTGATTAGACCTGTTCTTGAATTCATTTTAAAATACGCAGAATCTCCACTCTCAGAAATTTTGTATTCCACAGACGCAGTCACGGGCTGCACCTTCACTGCTGCAACAACAGCGCCAGGAGGAGAGAACTCACTGACCGTTACCTCGTAAACTTCTTTTTCAAACTCAGCTTTCACCTTTTCCCTTGTAGGGCTAGAAATCTGCACATATCTCATTTCAGAAGACCTCTGAGGAGACCCTTTATCTTTTGCCTGAATTGTCAGATTCACGCCATATGGAAAACTGTCCCAATCAATAGGACTTTTCTGTTTGATTTTATACTCGTTCATCCATTTGCCCTCCTTGACTAAAGAAAACTGTTGCAACACATCCCCCATCACTATTGAAACAGACTCTATATCTCCATTAGCACCCTCATCTATGTCATCAACTGTAATTATGGCGTAAGAAGGATCCACGTCCAACATGGAAGGAATGTGAGTGACCACAGTGATTGTGGGAGCATGTTCATTAATACGTTCAATGTGAACAAAAAGTTTGGCGGTACTGCTTACGCCATTGTTGCCATATAATTTCATCCCACGATCTACAGCCAACACTTCTAGGTCATACCGGTTCTTTTCATCATAGTTTAAGCGTCCACTTAATGAAACAACCCCACTGGTGGGATGAACAGAGAATAAATCTACTTTGCTTTTAAAATAGTAATAAAATTCCCCATTGGATCCAATATCAGCATCTGTGGCGGTAACTTGTGCAATGCTAGTCCTTATTGGTGTACTCTCGGCAATTGTGACAGAGTAGGTTGTCGGGGAAAAAAGAGGTCTGAGATCATTCATATCCAAGACCTGAATGTTGACTTTTGTCCAAGCCTCTAAGTCTTCTCCCCTCACTGATGCTTTTATTGATAATAAATAGCTATCTTGAATTTCTCTATTCAGGATGGCAGAATTTCCACCTTTTGTTCGAATCCTTAAAAAACAAAAGTCTCCGATTACCACTTCCTCCGCCTTAAAAAACCCTTCTTCATCCCCAGACATGATCCTGTATTTGATGTCCCAGGACAAGTTAGCTAACTTGATTCCAATTTTCGTTTGGCTGTTGAGGTACGTCCGGGCAGCAGAATTTTCGTAAACCGTGGCATTGTATGTTGGGTGCGTAAACTGGAAGATCTGTGGTGAAGGTCCTTGGATACCGATGCATAATTTAACACAGAAATTTAAAATTAAGAAGATCATATAGTAGGGAGATATTGATGTGTCTCCCAAGATATCCATGGTTATAGCCATTCCATCATTTTCTTCCTTCCTGGAACAAAAAGAAAAGAAACATTAGGAACAATGAGAAGTTAATATATGTAACATTCATGCAGAGAACTACACTCATTGGCCGCTTTATTAGGTACACCTCTTCAACTGCTCGTTAACACAAATATCTAATCAGCCAATCACATGGCAGTAACTCAATGCAGAGCGGTAGACAGCTGTGTCTCCTGTCAGCCTGCCATTGCATTGTATAGGCTTCTCGGCCACAGTTCTTCGCAACCACCAGTGATCCCAGCGGCAGATTCTTGCCACATATGGACACAAAAGTTTGTGTGAATGAGTTTTAAAGATCAGGGACACCTGAGCCGAAATTCTGCAAAGCTTTATAAGAAAAGAAAATGGAACCTTAATGATAATAAGTTAAAAGAGTTCTAAAGGAGTCACATTTATGTATTTATCATTGGTATTTATATAGAGCCAACAATTTACACAGCCATTTACATAGTACACATTGACATCAGTCCCTGCCCTCAAGGAGCTTACAATCTAAGGTCCTTATCACACACGCATACATACATGCATACATACATACATACATACATACATACATGGCTAACTTAGACAGGAGCCAATTAATCTTCCAGCATGTCTTTGGAGTGTGAGGGGAAACTGGAGTACCCGAAGTAAACCCACACAAGCACAGGGAGAACATGCAAACTCCTTGCAGATAGTGTCCTGACCGGGAACATCATATCCTCTCCTGTTATAACATCAGCATTGTAATAGGAATACATAGTTGAGTTGTTTTTAATAATACAATCAAAGCTTACTTAAGAAAAATCCCTTTTATGTAGTGAGTGCTGCCTGCTATCTGCCCAACACTTTCACCAACTTCCTGGATTCCCAGTGTGCTTTGCGTCTCTTTCCCTGCTGATTGATATGAGGAGAAATCTCAATTTCTCAAGACTACATCTCCCATCATGCATTGCTTCTAGGAAGCAATGATAATGTTACATTGTTCAGACTTTGAGTTGTAGTTCAGAAGGCAGGCTCTGACACAAGAAGTGCATATTCACAGGACTAAGTGAAATGGTGTCAGTGCATTGAGGAAGTACATCCCATGGGCCTCTTCAATAAGTAAGTTTACAAACATCTAGATGGATCTGGTTATTAGGAGTGGGGTAGAACTTTTGAAAAATCCAATATAGAAAGACAGATTTAATTTCAGTCTTTGACCCTTTAAAGGACATTTAAACCTTCAGCGTTTTTTTTGTTGTCTTTTTTTGCATATATCTACAGCTAGCAAGCAGTAGATATATGCAAAAACATTAAAAAAAAGTTAACAAAAAGGTTCAAACTTACCTGTGTCTCCACTGCTCACTCCTATCTGAAGATTCTCGGGCGGCAGCAAAGGATCATGGGGCGGGCGCATGCGCAGAAGAGATCTTCGGCTGGGAGACGAGGAGAGACACAGGGTAAGTCAATGCACGCAGCCCGGCAGCGTGCACCCGCACAGACTCCATGGGACAGGAAGAGAGAGGAGTCAGCATTGGATCAGAGACCGGACCCAGCGGTGAAGGGACTCCTGAAAACTACTGGAAAGAAGAGGATGATCGGATCAAGAGGCGTCATTTAAGGTAAGTTCTTACATCAGCATCAGGGGGGAATTTTTGACTTTAATGTCACTTTAAGTTAAACAAATATGTTCCTGACTGCTCTATGGGCGGATTGACAAGAAGCCACGATGTGCTCACAAGTGCGTCACTTGTAACAGACATTTCATTAAGAACACTCGAGCCTGAGCTTTGTATTTGCCTGAGCTTTAGACTATAGTGATAATGATTAACACAGCGACACACGGTTCATGAACTGCATTGTGCACGGCATTGTCTTACTTAGCCCAAGTTGAAATTTCTAATAATGAGAGCTTTTTAATCGAGGAAACTGGAGGTTTTTGTTTTTTTTACTGCTCTCTTTGACTTTGTTTACTGTGTCTTTCAATGCATTCTGGCCTATTCAACTGAAAAACAAACCAATTTAAAATGCAATTAGAGTCCTCAATGAGCGCATTTAAGACTTGTAATGATGCTAAGTGCATTACTTAGCTACAGATGCACTGAGTGCCAAACATCACGCTGGTACTTCTTTCTGTGAGTTGCTGGTATTTAATGAAAATCACAGTAACAGAAAGATGAGAAGTCAAAGAGGGGGAAAAAACACAGCAACTCCGGACCTCGAGCTGTTGTGGAGCTACAAGTCCCATGAGGCTTTGCAAGACTGACAGTTACAAGGATGACTCCCAGAGGACGAGGCATGTTGGGATTTGTAGTTAAAGCGCAGCTTGAGGGCAAGAGTTGTCCATCTCTGTTACAGACCGATCAGTATTACTTCCGTTAGCTGGCCATACACTGTGAATTCTGGCTTCTTGATGAACCAGAAGAAATGTTCTCAGTGAGTGGCCCTGTTGGCACCCATCTGTCCGACATCCTTTGATCAGGAAATTGAAGGAGCCAGATGAAAAGTTCTCAGCTGAACAGTGAAGGCTGGTGGGACTTGTAGTTTCACCATTTACATATCCTGTCAAAGGATATATTAATGGATGATGCGGCTGTATGGGCGGAGCAAAATCAAAAATAATGTTTCCTATCTGGTAAAAGGCTGTCCCTAGAACAGGAAGTAAGGGAAAAGCTCTCTAACAGAGTCCTGGGTCGCCGTAAAACCCGTTCTATCCAAAACAAAAAATATATTTTGGGTATACTGTAGATACACTTTAAAATCTTTCAATTAAGAATTAGATCTTACGTTAGGAACATTACCCAGTACTCTGAGTTGGTGTGGGAATATTACACAGTACTCTGAGTTGGCAGGAACAGTAGTCAGTACTCTGAGTTGGTGGGGACATTACCCAGTACTCTGAGTTGGTGGGAATATTACACAGTACTCTGAGTTGGTGGGAATATTACACAGTACTCTGAGTTGGCAGGAACAGTAGTCAGTACTCTGAGTTGGTGGGGACATTACCCAGTTCTGTGAGTTTGTGGGAACATTACCCAGTACTCTGAGTTGGTGGGAACATTACCCAGTACTCTGAGTTGGTGGGGACAATACCCAGTACTCTGAGTTGGCGGGAACAGTAGTCAGTACTCTGAGTTGGTGGGGACATTACCCAGTACTCTGAGTTGGTGGGAACATTAGTCCATACTCTGAACTAGTGGGAATTAACTAAGTACTGTGAGCTGGTGGGAACATTCCAAATCTGTGTCCCACCCACCAAGAGCAGAGTCCATAACCCTTGTGGTTTCGGGAAAGGTGTCCAACCCTTGTGGTGTCCAAGCTACATGAACTTTTTTTGCACTTGCATTTTGTTTTGTTTCAAATCCCTTTCCTCCGCCTCTCCTGCCAAACTCTTCAACTTTTGATGGCAAAAATTACAAATTAAAATATTTTATTAGATTTCGGTGGAAAATAACACTTTATCCAGACCACAAATATCCGAGACTTTATTAATATTTATTGTATGGCGGTCAACTGCAACACAATACAGAGGAGGAAAAACTGGGAATGTAACATAAGGATAAGGAGCGAAGGGACCTCGGCACACGAGAAACCCAAGACAGAAAAAATATGATCGGCACAGGGGCTTCGGTTCATTTCAGATCAGATTGTGTGGTAAAGTGAGAGCTAATGGCTTTCCCAACAAGAAAAGAGGAAGACAATGCAGAGAATGAATCAGAGATCTGCCAGTTAAGCTGGAAGTAATCAGGGCATACAGGCTAGTCAGCAATATAAAGGTGTAATTCTAGACTGCCCCAAGGAACCTCAGCTCAGCCGCCATTCACTGCTGGCTTCTGAATCCTTTTCTTACTTTTCCACCAGGTGCTGGGAACACTTCCACACGCTGCGATCATCAACTCAAGTCAAGAAGAAACTTCTCATTAAATCGGAGAGCGTGGGGTTTATCTGCTACTGTCCTTGGGGAGGCAGATTGAAATAAAATTGGGAGGAATCAGAATGCGTGACCATTTCCTTTCCCCTTGCAGGGAAAATTCCAGGAAATAAGTAGAATTAGTGTACTATTAAAGTCATCGAAGAAACGTTATCAATGTCCTGCGATCAGAAAGAATCAATTTGCCTTGAGGTTGCATTCACATATGTGTGTTGCAGTAATATGAGACAACTTATGTGTGGGCATCGGTGTGTCAGCACATAGATGGGGGTTATGGTGAGCTGCACGGCCTCTGTGCATTGTTTTTTTGTGTTGCTGAGCACTGACACCGCATTCAAAATGGATATGCCGCCTTAATGCAATACACATTACTGCACAAAATGAACACCCTGCAACACTGCGTATAAGTCCTAAAACCCAACTTTACCTAAAACTCTCCCCCGTTTTAGAATGAGCAGGAAAGGGTTGTACATCTGTCAGGTTTTATTGCTGTTTGTATACCTGCTGGGGAGATTTACCCCACTTTGTGTCCCAATGACATCTAACAAGGTATCACTTGGACAGGAATTGAAGGTAAATCTAAACACTGGCAATACAAATAACCATAGAAGCCTGACAGAGGTTAATACCCTTCCTGTCTACAAAAAAAAAAAAAAAGAAAAAGTGTTCTTTTTTGCTCTTTGTCTCTTGGCAAGTGAAGTGTTTCCCACCACTGGAACAGGAAGTGAGCAGAAATCTTACCCTCCCCTACTTTATCCAAAACTAAAAATTAGTGCCAGTTACACTTTGAAAAACAAAATAAGTGTTTTCGAGAAAATGTACCATAGCCATTATACAAACAAACACCACCAGAAGGGCAGCTTCATTCAAAAATAATCAAAAGATTCTACATATCAAAACATCTAGAAGCATCCATAAACCCTCAACCATTAAAATGACAACACTGACACCAATACCCATCACATTGTCCAGAGCACATTCATCTAAAAGCAATGGCTAAGAAATAGATTAATGAAACCCCTAATGTTGGCAGATATGGGTCAACCAGAAACAATCCTCCTGGGTATATTCAGTTCCAGATGAAACCCAAGTATATC